CTGATTATTCCCACAAGCACACTTGCAACAAGAAGTCTGTTTCACTTGTTTTGGTGGCCTGTATTTACCAACAGCAGGTTTATTAGAAGTAACAAAATTAGAAGCAAAAGGTTCAGAGTTCAAAGAGACATTGGTTTGACAATCAAGAGAATTAACAGAACTAGAATTATTTTTTTTCTCCTTGTTCTCATTTTCCACTACTATACCTTCACATAAAATAGAAGCATTAGTATCGTTCACCTCAATACTCTCAGTTGGGCTAGATTGTTCAGTCTTAACTAAAGCTGGTACAGGGGGCAAGCCAAACTGAGCAGGCATCTCTATGTCATTGGTTTCAAGGGGTGGGTTATAGTTATCATTGAAGGGGTGTGGAACGTTGTGATACCCTAGACCCTTATTCTAATTATCTTTAAATTTTAATTGTTTTTCAATCAGGACACGGCTACCTCACTTCATACATCAAATTTCTTAAAGTTAAATTCAACATCATTAAATATAGGTTTCAATGCGTCAAGTTCGGCAGTTAATTTGACAATTTTTTCTTGAGCATAATTATAGTGTTCACAATTATCACTATATTCTGCTTTAATTATTTTTAGGTCTTTGGGTTGGGCCTCTAATTGTACTATTAAGGGTTTTTGGGCCTTTCTGAGAGTGTATCCTTCATATTTAAGGCCGTTAACATCCCTAATTAATAAATGAAGTTGACCACGATAAAATTTAATTTTAGCTTCACTGGACTCAGAACATGAAGCTTCATTGACCTCCTTTGTACTGTTGTAACAACTTATTGTTTACCAAAAAGAGATATGATTGAGTATCCAACAAAATTTCCCTTTTACTTGAAACCTCGAAAGTCAGACTTAAAAGTCAAAAGTCAAACGAGAAAGTCAAACTTGAAAGTCAAAAATCAAATTTGAAAGTTAAAGGTCAATTTTGAAAGTCAAACATGAAAATCAAACTTTTTTTCAAAAAAAAAACCTTAATCGAAAACAAAAGTTTCTAGATAAAAAACAAGAGTTTTGGATCAAAACATGACTTTTGGGCCGAAAAATGAGATTTTGGATCGACATTGTGAAGCCTTGTAATCCATCCGAGAAGACTCGGATAAAAATCTCTCAGACCGAATATGTGAGACCGAGAAGCGGAGACCAAGAACTGCGAGACCAAAAACGGTGAAGCTGAGAAGTCCGAACCGAAACTCTCGCTTCTGACTGAGAACCCTCGCCGCTAACCGAGAATGTTGTTGTGCCTCCGAGATCTGCTAGGGCTTGACCGATTCCGAAGCTAGCCGTTGAGATTTCCAAGGAGTCTGAACAAGACCGAGGTTTGCCACCGAAATGTCACAGATTTTGACCTAATACACCAAAAACTTGCCAAAAACACGATATTTTCAAATCTTTTCTGCCAAAATCGATCAAAACTCCAAAAATATGTAGAACACGAAGAAGAAGAATGGCCAAAAATAAAATAAAAACACCAAGAAACTCCAAGAAAAAACCGTTTGCAATGACCCGATTAATACTAATCCTTCGCTCTGATACGAATTGTAAATCCCCAAATCGCTATGTATCAATCAATTTCACTTGATGGTGCGGAATCTCAATCAAGTGAATTAGGAAAGACAAAATATGGAATAAGAACAAGATGATTAATCTTCAATGTACACTATTATAGATGAATAGTCGGGTACATAAGATTCACGATTACACTTGGTTTAGTCTATGTTTCTCTATCAATCATGTTCTTGGCTTATGGCATCCCCCAAAATGCCCCACTCACTTTACAAGGCCTAAATAATATTATATATACCTAGACCTAATAGCAAATCCCAAGCCGAAAATCCAAACAAACCAACATTAAGCCTAACCGAAATCACATGTGATTTCGGTCCAAACAATACCAAAACATGGTGTTTTCGGTCCTAGACCGAGATATCTAATACCTTGTGAAAAGCAAAGTATAAACCACAATTTATGGCCTAACAATCTCCCCCTTGGTTTATTGTTGGTTGTCAGATGAACATAAAATTTAGCCAATGCTCCTGCCCACGGCTTTTTATCAATGATAGTTGCTAGCATGCCAGTGAACGCCTTTGCAGTAGGTTCAAACATCTCATTCTCCACCATAAGTTGATGTCTAGACAACATATGAATGTCATGCTCGCCAAATTTTAGTAAATCCCTATGATCAAAAATACGCATCACATCCCTTTTTGTCTTGATTACCACAGTTATTGTCGCCTCATCATATACCCAATATAATAAATCATTTAGAGAACCATCAGATATAGGATGAGAGAGAGAGAAATCTTTTTTGTTTTCCTTGTAGGAGGTCACATAACGTTTACCATGGTTTTGTTGGTGCGCGGATCGACGACACCCTTAACCTTTCTAATGAATGAGCACGCTGTGACATCCCCATTTTTCACGGCCAGAAAAGACCGATTTTGTTTATGCTTATAAAAATCAGAGTACTTCTTTTAATAAAAATGTTGCGGAATTTGTCCCAGTAAAACATGATAAATACTTTATCAAAACATTTCTGAAGAAAAGTATTTTTAATTCGTTTTAAAACATTCGGGATGTCATCGTCAATATAGAAACATAAGCATAAACAGAATTTACATTTATTTACACTAGTGATCTACGTCTTTTTAATCTCTCAGTGTAATGTCACTTCAAATCGACACCTGTGATATAAATAAACTGAGTGGGTCAGGTTGGGAAACCTGGTGATTACATAGGGTTTTCAACCCACAATAATATAATTATTATGTTTAATTAATCAAACAATCAACCCAATTATCCATCCCTATTATCTTCTTTAGTCTTAAGGATCTACCCTAAGAATCAGCTATTCCTCGTTTATTTATTCCTAAGGATCATCCTAAGGAATCGGCACGAAGTCCATCGTTACCAAGGCTTATAGATTATAAGTGGTGAACACGTAGTCCAAAACATCTGGTAAACACTTAGTTCAAAAGTAGCTAGTGAACACACTTAGTTCAAAATGCCTAGTGAACACACTCAGTTCAAAAATATCTAATGAGCACCTAGTTCAAAAACACCTACAGATTACGAGCCTGCTAGCGTTCCACTGGACTGTCTAGTATCGTCCATGGTCATAATCTATACTTCACTAGATGACTGGATCACTGTCAACATTGATGTCTTTCATCGTGTTGTCACACAACAAATATTTCATCTACCCATGTTTTACCCAACACATTTTGTAGATATAAAATACATATACAATTTAAATCATTTAAATCATGTATAAAAATCTTTCACCCAGCATAGACAGCAAGTATTCAGATAATATGCACACATAGCACATAATTTATATTAAAATACTTCATATCTATGTGTAAGATGAAAGGGACTATGCACTAACCTGAAAGGTGGTGACTCAGCACTCGGACAACGCTTTGAATACTCTCAAAACAATTTTCCTTGGATAAAACCTAGTACCGATACCTCTAGGGTTTAGTTTAACGATAACCGCAACAAATTAATAGTCTGACAATTATTATTTTTATATAAGAGTTAAATAACACTCAATATAACTCATAATAATAGCACAAATAATTATTTTAAGGACCTAATAACACTCCTATAATTATTTGAAAGCTATATTAAAAATTGCGTAAGCGTAGCTCACTTACAACGGATTTTAAAGAAAACCGGGCTTTACATGGAGCAGCGTTTCTGAACCGAAAGACCCTTTTTCTCGGGACTCCAGGAGTCTTGGGGCTTCTTCGGGCTCTAGGGGGTTTACCTAGGCTTTTAGGGGGTTTGGGGGGTTAGAGAGAGAAAGAAGTGAGGAAAGGTGTGAGAATTGAGGGTGCCCCGGCTCTCTTTTTATAGGATGGAAAAGCCAAAAACTCATCGAGTTGGCCTCAAAATCGCTGAGTTCCAGGCCAGGTGTCACCATCTGGTGGCTAGCCTTGGGGAGGAAGCAACGGCCAGGATTGCACCACATCACCCGACTTCGCACAGCAGCCTCCGGACTTAGAAAAATCATAACTCTCGCATACGAGCTCCATTTTTGACGTTCTTTTATTCCACGTGTAGGTAAAAACAAGATCTACAACTTTCATTTAGACTCCGTCAGCTAATTCTCGACCGATCTTAAATTTAATAGTAGGAGGAGATTAGACTGCTAAATGACCGCGAAGAATTCGTAACTCCTTCATACGGACTCCATTTTCGTCTTTCTTTTTACCGTTGAGTTCCTATTAATGAGATCTTCAAATCTCATTTAGGTCGCATAAGCCAAAAACCGCTCGAACTAAAATTCGAGTTTCGGGCTATACACTGCTAGGCCGAAACTTTGAAAAATCATAACTTCCTCATACGAAGTCAGATTTGGGCGTTATTTTTATGGATTTTCTCGGTGTAACATACTCAACAACTTTGGGTTAGATCACTACGGCTAAAAAGTTTTCTGTCATAAATTTACTTTTTACATCTCCTGGTGCCGTGCCGGTTTTGCCGGAAAACTTCGACGGCCATAACTTCTTCGTTATAACTCGGATTTCGGCGTTCTTTGTATGTATGGAACCTTGAGACATATTCTACAACTTGGTTAAGATTATTTATTCTAAAAAAATTTTAGTTGAAAAGTCGTTTTCGACCCCTATTATCTCTAAATTGACTAGCCCGGATCTATGGGCGTTACACACGCTATCGACTCGCCTGTAAAGTTATGCTTTGATTTGTCTTCTAGAAAGTTTTTAATGCCCATGCCTTGGGATCATTTGTAGGATTGTGAAAGGGAGCAATTACTAGATCTGGAAGATCAACCATAGTCCAAGACAAAAAATCAACTTTTTTTTCATAGTATTCAATATTTCCGTTCCTCCGTTTCACAACCCACATGTTCTTGTCAGCTTCAAATCCTCACATGTGAATACCTGAACGATCGTTGTATCTGTCAGCAAATTTTCTTTTCCCAACTTCTTTGATGAACATCTCAGGTTGATCACTAGTTGAATTCTAATCAGAATTCTTCATCAAAAGCATTTTATTTTTCTTCAACGCGCTTATTTTCTTATGTTTCTCCCTTCTCTCTTCAGCTGTGGCATGGCCAAAAGATAAATATTGATCAATGTTAACATGTGGAGCAGGAGAAATTGTGACTCTTTCAGATGACTCGGGAGCCTTTCCATGATCAAAGCTTGAAGTCTTGAACTCATTACCAAATTTTCCTATCAATTTATCTTTGAGATCATAGTAAAGAGCTATCAACCCGCCAAGATTTTCCTGAAGATCTGAAATATGTTTACCTTTTTCTTTCTCAAGCTCTAAAACCCTCACATCTAAACTACCAATCAACAGTTCCTTTTTAATGGACTCCTGCTTCAAATTTGTGATCTCTTGTTTAAGCTCAAAAATAGTTTGTGCAGAGCCTTCATCAATGCCTTGCCCTGAGCAAATACAAATTTCCTTCTCTTTTGATTGAGGAATGGAATCTTGAAAGGCAAGAAGCTTGGCCAACTTAAGAGATACTACATCGTGCTCTGGAGGTAGTGGATCAGAATAACATCCTAAAGAAAAAGTTTCCTCATTTGCTACGAAATTAAAGTCATCGACAAAATTGAGGCTCTAAACGTCTTGATGAAACTGGGCTGATTCAGCGATTGGACCTTGAACATCTTCTTGAACCTGGGTTGGTTCAATGATTGGGCTTTGACCAACTTCTTGAACCTGGGCTGGTTCAACTGTAGAAACAGATTGTTGTACTGGCTCAACAATAAGCACTCCCAGCCTTGGATCTCTCCATGTTCGCTTCTTTGGCATCAGGGAGGCATTTGATTCATCTCTATCACTCTCAGAAGGAGATTCAACAGTATCATAAATTGCTTGAGGAGGCTTCCTTGCAGTAGACTGTAGTTCTTTGATAAGTGCATCTATATGTTCGGGCGTTGGAATATTTGGCTGCCTGAAAATATTGATTTTAGTTTCTTTCTCAGCCGGGGTAATCACAGCTTCATTGACTGGCTCCTTCGGTGGAACAAACAAACAAAAACTTCTATCATTAGTATCATCAGAGTCATCCTAGTCTAGCCTTGTGTTCTAAAATAAGGTGTTTTTTAGTGCTTTGGAGTATGCATGGTGTACCTTGGAGAAGAAGGAAATACTTGGAGAAGTGTTGGTTGCATTGGTGCTTGTAGATCTAGACTTTTTTCACCTTGATCTATCTTCTAGAGGTATAAAGTTTGAATCTTGAAGATATTTTTTTAGATCTAACTAGTTTTGGGTGTTCATAGCTTTTGGTCATTTTAGTGCATAATGTTTAGATCTTAAAAGTTTGTGACCTTGTTATTTTTAGATGTACTTAATCGATTAAGTTGAAAAAGATGAACTTTTGGGTCCTTTTGAGACTTAATGACTAGATCTTGTTTGTTGGTGTTGGATTAGGTGTCTAAGCACATAACTATAGTTGGTACGTACTTGACCCGATAGTAGCATGGTCCTTTTGGTTGCCCATACCATAGCAAGTTGACTGGATGAATAATAGAGAAAGAGGTTAATTATGATTTATTAATATATTATAGGAATAATATATTAAAAGAGAAATCATATTATTTAATTAATAATGGTCAAGAATTAATTTAGAATTAATTTTTTGGTCAAAAGAGATTAATTAAATTAAGGAGACTGTTATTGTAATTATAAGATAATTGTAATATGGGTTGTGGACTCCTCAAATAAGGAGGTGGATGAAATCCATGTGGAAGCCCACATAGAAATTGTCCATACGAAAGGTTCTGGAAGGATCCTATGGGCTGCTTAAGGCTTAAGCAACCAGATTAGGTATTTGACTAAAACCCTAACTGCTCAGCTGTATATAGAGCCCTTTGGACTCCTATTTTCGGCTACCAGAATCCCTATAAGGATCTAAGAGCCAAAAATTAGTATCCCTAGCCTCTCTCTCTAACATTCCTCCATTGCTATTGGTGTTTGTTATCGATTACAGGTATTACACGTGTGATACAAAAGCTCTCAAAGTTTGAAGATCAAGCTACAATTGAAAGGTAACATCATAACTACGTATTAGATGTAGATTTCAATTTTTTCTATGCTAAATTAGGGTTTATAAGCTTTGGATGATTATTGCATGTACAATTAGAGAAAACTAGGTCAAAAGTTTTAGGGTTTGCATGTGCACCATAGGATTGTCATTATGCTCAAAACCGTTCAGTTAGGACCATTCTAATTGCTAAATTTGGAAACTTTATCCACTATAAAGCTATTATGAACTGTAAAAATGTGATCTTGGCCCTTATCTTCATTCCATGCAAGCGTTATGATGCCTTATTGGGTTAAGAACTGAGGGTTTTAGACATTAATCACTTTATAGCCAAGCAAAGTCATAAAGTTGGAAACTCGATGACTCGGGACATCATTTTGGGCTTGGATATGAGTTTTGGATGTAAGAACTTAATGGAATAAGCTCTTAATGGAGTTTAGGGAATAAGATAAGTACGCTTGCCATACCTGGTGGTCTGTTGCACGTACTCGGTCAGCGCCCCGCTATTAGTCAACATCAGATTATGTTGGGTGTACTCTTTTAGTATGCATGGCATACTCTGCTAGGAAGAAATATTGACTTTTGGACCTTGACTGGTGCTTTGAATTTGACCACGGTTGACCAAGTTTGACCTAAGCGTATTTTGGGTTATCTGGTTAATTATTGATTAACATTGTATTTATTGTTAGTTGGCGCAAGGTTATAAAGTTTTATGGTCCAAGCAGTTATATGATTATCAGCGGATGGAGGTGAGTTTTCCTCAGTGTACTTACAGGTCGTAAGCACTAAGGTCGGCCCATTGGATTGATATCCTACTATTCACTGATATGTTGAGTATGGCATAGATGTATATGATTATGCTAGTTGCAAATATGTTAGTCTAGTAAATTTGTAGGATTAGCTATGATCCTCTCTGCTTAATTATCTGTTTACGTTTGTTACCTGTTGTTGTCACACCCCCGGACCAGGAGGCGGAAATGTCCGGAGGTGGGTTCCTACATTGTGTAGTGCCATAACAGTTGAATATTAATGAAACACAGCATATCCAAACATCATACATTAAGATAACCAACTTACATTGTTTTACATCAAGTATTTGTTCTCAAATTACACAAAAGAGACATTAGTAAGTAAATTCCAAACTACAGCAAAATAATCTAGAATCTGCGATCTATAAACTTGCTTAGTAATTTCCTGAGACTACAAGTCGTTTGAAAAGCGTTAACATATAATATGTTGGTGAGTTCATAAGCATTTTTATATAAAAGTTTGTAATAGTTTAGAAACCCAGAAAAATCCAATATTTTATGTTAAAATAGTTGTAGTCTTGTTTCCATATCAAGTATAGTTGCGTGTGTGCTTTAGTTTATCATCTTTCGAAATTGTATGAAATCATTTTCCCCAGAAAATCCCATATTTTGTGATATACAAAAGTGGTGGTCTTAGAATCCTAAGACTTGTGTAATAAAATTTCATTTGAGGTATCCGAACCATAGATGATTATAAACAAAAGGTGTGATCCGGTAAATTTATAAATAATATTGTTATATTCTAAGTGAGTCGTTATAACCATACTTGTAGCACCTGGTTCTCGGTACGCATTTCTTTTATCTTTTATCTATGTATTTTTGCATTTTTAGCCTTGGACTTGGCGAGTCGAAGGACCAACTCACCGAGTAGAAGCGAGATGGGATGCGGGTTTTAAGCCGTGGACTCGACGAGTCGGGTCCCAGACTCATCGAGTAAGTGTTGTCTGGACGAAAACCCTAATCCAAGGGTTTGCACCTTATTTAAACAATGTATGACGACCCAAAACGCCCCTTATGCTCCCAAAACACCTCTCATTGAAACCCTAGCCGTTATTGAAGCAATCTAAGCCTTAGTAGTGGATTTTGGTGTTTGTGGTCTTAAGAAGGAAGGAGAAAGGCTTGAGGAAGCAAGTAGAGACCAAGGAACTCGAATTCGTGCACCTTCTACAGCTCATTGAAGGTAAAAAGTTGTAACCTTGCTCATTCTTTTGTTAGATCCCTCTTTGAGGAGATTTAGGGCTTTTATAAGCTATTTTTGGTGGCCAACCATGTTAACAAACATGGTTGGGGGTTAAAGCTTCTGAATCACATCATTTAAGGAGTCACTGACCAGGCTGACGAGGAAAGTCGTGGTCTTTCGCTGGGGGCCTGAGCAGCTGGCCGCATTCGAGACACTGAGACAGAGATTGTGCGAGGCGCCAATCTTAGCCCTGCCAGAGGGCATGGATGATTTTGTGGTATGTTGTGATGCATCCATCTCAGGTTTGGGCGTGGTGTTGATGCAGAGAGGGCATGTTATTGCATACGCTTCGAGGCAGCTGAAGCCTCACCATGCGAATTACCCGATGCATGATTTGGAGCTGGGTGGTGTTGTGTTCTCCCTCAAGATTTGGCGTTATTACCTCTATAGGGTCCGTTGTACCATCTACATGGACGACAAGAGTTTGAGGTACCTCATGGATCATCCGAATCTAAACATGAGGCAACATCGGTGGTTGGACGTGGTGAAGGATTACGATTGCGAGATCCTTTACCACCCGGGGAAGGCCAATGTGGTGGCCGACACGCTTAGCCGCAAGGCGGAACCGACCAAGGATATTTGTCTGAGGATGACAGTGGTGACTCCACTGTTGGAGCGGATTTGGGAGGCCATGAAGGAGGAACATCGGAAGAGCGAGCGGATTGTGGGGCATGTTTCCTCCTTTGATGATGATAGCGGAGGGCTGCTGACACTACACCGTAGGGTGTGGGTGCTGTACTACGGGGGTGTGCGCCAGGTTCTGATGGAGGAGGCGCACAAATCTCGATTCTCCATTCATCCTGAGGCAACGAAGATGTATAGGGATCTTCGTCTGGACTATTGGTGGCCCTGCATGAAACGGGATGTAGCATGGTACGTGGAGCGATGCTTGACCTGCAGGAAGGTCAAGGCCGAGCACCAAAGGCCACACGACAAGATGCAGCCATTGGATATCCCGCTATGGAAATAGGAAGACATTACGATCGATTTTATCACAAAACTTCCTAGGACCGCGCGGGGAGTGGATTCGATTTGGATCATCATCGATCGATTGACCAAGAGCGCTCATTTTATCCCGATTCAGGAAAGTATTTCGGCCGAATGGTTGGCCAATATCTATATTAGGGAGGTAGTGGCGCGGCACGGGGTACCAGTATCGGTGATTTGGAATAGGGATGTGCGGTTCACTTCCAGGTTTTGGAGAAAGTTTCATGACAAGCTGGGTACGCGTCTGCATTTTAGCACCGCCTTTCATCCGCAGACAGATGGTCAGAGAGAGCGAACCATCCAGACATTAGAGGATATGCTGCGGGCATGTGTTTTAGACTTCGGAGGTAGCTAGGATACCTACCTTCCGTTGGCGGAGTTCTCGTATAATAATAGATATCATGCGAGTATTGACTGTCTTCCCTTCGAGATGTTATACAGGAGAAAGTGCAGGACCCCGATATGCTGGGGTGAGGTTGGCCAGAGGGTCATGGGGAGCACCGAAGTGGTGCTCAAGACGACAGAGAGGATTCAGCAGATTCAGAGCAGACTTCACACTACTCAGAGTCGGCAGAAAAGTTATGCCGCCAAGCGCCGATCGGACCTAGAGTTTCAGGTCGGGGATATGGTTCTCCTGAAGGTATCGCCATGGAAGGGTGTCATCCGATTCAGGAAACGAGGCGGGTTGGGTCCCAGGTATATTGGACCCTTCAGGGTTATAGCCCAGGTGGGCAAAGTGGCATATAGGTTGGATCTGTCAGCCGAACTCACACAGATTCATAGCAATTTTCATGTCTCCCAGTTGCGGAAATGTTTAGCTGACGACTCGGCAGTGGTACCATTATAGGATATTCAGGTCGATGATAGCCTAAATTACATTGAGTGGCCTGTGGTGATCCTCGACCGGAAGTCAAAGGATCAGAGAAACACGAGAGTGGAACTCGTGAAGGTGCAATGGCAGCACCAGAAGGGCTCGGAATGGACTTGGGAGCCGGTGGACGAGATGATGGAGCACTACCCAGAGCTGTTTCAGGAACGAGCAACAGAATTCGAGGACGAAGTCTAAAATAAGTGGGGGAGATTTGTAGCACC